TTATTACAACATGTGTTTCACACTTATAAAATGACATTTACAAAATCAACTTTATATTATTCTATAATATTACTCTCTTTGCCTTTATTAAAAATTTTATTAACCTTAATATTTAATTTACTTCATTAATAATATGATTTTCATTGTATTCATTTCGAGATTTTTAATTCTTAAGAGGAATTATTGTAAATGAAAAGGCCTTTTTAATACTGTACCCATGCACTACTATAATTCTTATATATCTTCATATGCCTACTATACAATATAGAAATTTATATATTTAAATCATGTTTCATTGTAATAAATTAGAAAATTTTCTAATTATTAATATTAAAATATCCTTCCGATTCAATTTTCATTCTCTCTCTCTATATATACATGGGGTAGGAGTAAATGGGTAGATAATTTATAGCATATTTTTCTATTGTTTGGCATCAAATTAAACTAATTCTAATATTTTGAAAATATATATAATATTACGTGTCATTACCAATTACGTGTTCAAAAGCTCTTTTCCGTAAAGAAAAATACTATTTTGAAAAAGAATGAAAAAAAAGGACTAAAAAATGGTATTTTCCAAAAAGGGATTCAATTTTTTGAATGGTATTTTTTTATTATACTTATACGAGTATTGCGGTATAATATGAAGAAATTTAAGTGTTTTTTTTTTTATTATTAACTTTATTTAAAGGATTATGAAAATCCCATACCAAATTTTCTTAAAGTACACCTGAATTTCAAATACGTGTTTGGGGTTTTTTCTTTTTATTTGATATTATTAACCCATATATCTACCCGTATATGAAATTTTTTCCTTTTTATATAATTTGAAATTTATTGTCAGTATTCATTATAAAACTGTATGTAGATAACAAGCAGAATTGAATCGAATATTGTGTATTTCTATAATTCCAGTTGGATTTTTCTTATAAAAGAATATTCCTATAGGTATACAAAACATGTATGTGTGTGTTAGTATTTTATAATAGTTTCTTTTGAATTCCGGAATATTTTGACTGGGCCAAAAAAAAAAAATATATTAAAAAAAACGAGAAACAAAAGTAAAGAAAACTTTTAATTTTTAAAGCATTGTTTTGTAAAAGTTATTCAAAAAGTTCAATGACCTTTTAAGCATTATGAGCACATTAAATTTAAGTTTTTAAAGAGAAAATATTATGTAAGCATACTATTATAGAATATTTTCAATATTTTTGGATAGTTTTTCAGTTTTTAACAGAGAGTAGTTTGAAAATTGCTTTATTGAATCAGGAAAAGAAAAAAATTAATTGCTGGTTGATTTTCTATTGAGTTTTGGGTTAAAATGTGGTGATAGAATAGTCAGGATTTTCCGATTCATTGTTTCATTTTCCCAATTTATTCATTCATTGTTCAATTTACTACTTGTATGTGGATTAAGTGCAATTAAATTTTCTGAAACTTCGCAAGTCTAACATAAATGTAAATGTAAATTCTAGCTTAATATAAACTCTAGTTTCTGGAGTGCTAAATGCTGAATGGAGTTAAGATTTAAGTTTTCAATAAAAAAATCACAAAAATAAACCAAAATAATTTCTAGAAAATAAAATAGTTGTTGTTTTGTCTACATTCTAGCTAAAATGGTTGCTTTAATTCGGTAACGAAGTGGCATTTTTGTTAATTTATTTATTCTACTTATTTTTACCGACCGTATTGTGTATACGGTATAACCTACCTAGTTATATGATGGCAACAAATTTTGAATATCGAGTTTTCGGTGAGAACGCATTTCTCTGTGGTAACCTGTCGATCTTTCGGTCTGTATGTGCACACTTATGTCTCAAGATCGGCTGAACCGATTTTCACATTTTTCTAAAATGTGAAAATCGGTTCACGTTAACTAAAAGATTTTCACGTTAACTAAAAGCTTATTAATGTCCTTAAAATTATAAAGAAGCGTTTAAAACACATTTTCATAATTTTCTGGAATACTTTCACTAATCCAGACAACATACATTGCAGTCGGTTATGTGCTGACCACAACATTTTGATTTTTGATTTTTTTTTATTGTTCTCTTTATATGCCCATGTGAACAGCATTTATTTTCTATATTTAGCCTAAATACTTTCGCAGATTGTCGTTTTTGCTTTATTGGTAGTTTGGTAGTTATTGATTCATTGGTATATTCGGTTGTGAATGTAATTCGGTACAATTTTTTTTTTTCGAATTTTCTTCGAGAATTTTTTTTTCTGTATGTAGAAATGCTGAAGAATGTGGTTTTTACGCCTAAAGAAGCGGTTTTTGAATATTCATAATATTCTAGAAACTACAGTTCTTAAATGGAACAACAGCCCAATTTATTGGAGAATTTTTTTGCTTTTTTTTAATGTTGTATACCGAATTAATATACAGAAATTACGGAAAATTATATTAATTAGGTCAAATAAGTGTCATTAAATAGTTTAAATTGAACTTAACCAGCTCATATATATATATACCTTATATCGCACTCATATGAAAAATTATTTTTTTTGGAATTCGGGTTAAGTCGTAACTTCTCTTGGCATAAGCAAATAAAATGTTGAATATTGTAAATTTTGGTGAAATAATTTGAATTCAGCAAATGCATACAACATTCTGCCTGACACAGCCACGAATTTTAAAATTGCTCTTTTGCAAAACTTGAATTTCTGAAAATTTGTTTTTTGCTACCATTATTTTGTAAGTTTGCATTAAAATATACTCTTACCACGGCTGAACTCATTATTATTTAGCGATTTCCTCAAATTTTAAAAATATTAAAATAATATTTTTTAATTTTTCTATTATTTCAAAAAATTGTTCATGAAAATAATACCTAGAATGAAAAAATTTGTTTTACCATTTTATTAGAAAAATGTTACATATAAGCATTTTGTTCAAAAAATAAAATTGCAAAAAATTTGTTTTTCTTTCTTTTGTTTTAAAATCTAAAATAATAATGAATATTTGCCATATTTTTAAAATATACAAAATAGAACCCTCCAAAAAACAAGGATAATAATTTCCATCTGTTGTTTAATTTTTTGATTACAAAAATACTTCTATAATATCTGAACATATATTATGGAACTGTCGTTCCTGCACTTAACATGAAATACGTATATAGAAATAATAGGGTATTACAAATATTTAAACAGCAATTTGAAATAATAGGGTATTACAAATATTTAAACAGCAATTTGAAATAGAACCAAAACATGGAATTAGGAAAATTTTGGGCTTAAGAAATTTAATTTATAAATTAAAATATTATTTGTTCACTCTCGCTATTAATTAGTGTCATTGCTTATATTTCAATTTTATACTAAATTTACCTTACTGTTTGTAACGCTAAGGGAATAATGGTCCCAACGATAACTCAAAAACTAATTGAGCTAAGTCCATCAAATCTTCACAAATGATTTATTATAGTAATAGCCAGAACCCTATTTAAATTGGATATGATCGGGGTACTGGCTCGGGTAACTATCGTAGTCAGCTATGACATATTTATTAGCACAATAGGATAACAAATTCGTACGGGTATCATAGAGTCACGGTCAACTGCATTTTTTCTCGTTTATTCATAATTTGGTAGTTAGTACCCCAAAGTTAACCAAATCAACTCTCATTTCAAATTTTACTCATTCAATATATATTCACGAGAATTTTATAATTTTACTTACGGTTTACCATCTTGTATTCGATAATGGTTAAAGAATTAAAAAAGAAAATATCGGGGATTTTATTTTTTTTTTTTTTTGAAAAATTGTTTGTTGTTTTTTCCCCTGTTGTTTTTGATAATTTTAATCACGTCTCAAAATACAAGAATATTTCTTTGTTTTTTGTGTATCCTTCCTATATTCTCCTAACTTCTGTTTTTCTCATTCAATTTGTATTCTATCATCATCCCCACTCCTAAGTATACAAAAAAATCTAGAGCGGATTGCTAATAAAAGCAAAATATTGTTTTTGTTTTTTTTTTTTCTGTATATTAGTATAGAAGAACTTTTTCGTTCCACTTATTTTAATTTAAAAATAAAAAAAATATTTAAATAAAATATTTGTAATTTTGGTAGGGGACAAAAGAAAAAACAAAACTTGTTCTGCCTTTCATATTTTGCTGTTTTAATGAAGAAAATGGAAAAACTTTAAGGCAACATATTTTTTATGACTTTAAAACTTGGCTAATATTCCCAAAAGATTGATTTCAATAAATTTTATTGAGGATTCAACGTTAAACCTCCAACGGGAAATTCTTTATTGTGCAGGAATTATGGTACAAAATTTATGTAGAACGGAAAATTAGACAGGAAAAATATCTGTTGCTTTCATGTACAATAATAAACAGAAATTTTTTAATTAAGGATGACCGAGTTTTTAAGTTGAAAAAATTATAAAAACAATTATACAACATTTATCTAAATTATGCATATACGAACAAGTTTAGTTGGATTATTCCAATATATTTTCCAATACAGCTTCCAAATGTTACATAAACTTTAGAGCAGCGGTAAGGATTGTCTCGGGGTAGTGGTTTGAAGGGAAAGTTTGAAGGGTATATTGGACAGGATAGACTTGCAAACTGGATCCAATCGGTCTTAAATACGACAAGTTTTATTAAAATATAAAATGCGTTTCGAATTTATTAAAATTGTGTAGTTTTAGTTTGACTCTCGATTGAGATGTCGGATAAAAAATTAAAAAGTTAATAAAAGAAAAATTGCATAATAGGCTCCTGGTCCCAAATAGGATTAAATCAGTTAAGTAAATCAACGTGTGTAGAACGGCTTTTTTGAAGCTTTAAAAGTATTTTTCGGGTTTTAAACCAAAAATCTAAACTTGTTTACAATACAAAAGCTTATATATATGCGTATAAGTTTACGACTGTATGACACAATCATAGTTATGGTGGAAATACCAAAAAAATTCTCTTAATTTTTTATATCTTATAAAAAAATTATTAAAAAAAAAAACCAAATAATAAATTAAAATAACTTACCCCTTGGTAATAATCCATTTTCAATAATTCTAGCCTCTAATAAGAGTCTGGGTAATAATAAGCACATTGCAATTATAATATGAATAAATGCTGCTGTTGGTCCACCATGTGTCCATAACGCTCTTAATGTACCACCACTTGATTCTTCTTCTAAACCATCATGTGGTGTCATTGAACATTTACGATTTGGTATAGTTGCTAATTTAATGCCATCGTTAGCTAAGTTTCCAACCTAAATTAGAACAAATAAAAGTAAAACAATATTGTTAATGATAATTTTAATTTTACTTAAATTTTAAATATTTTATTTCAATAATTTTCGGGTGCAAATCCGGGTACAAAATTTTTTCGAGTCGTTTTTTTTTGCTTTTTGAACATTAGAGTCTTTATCGTAAAAAAGTGGTATGTGACATTCTAAATTTTATGATATTAAAATTTTTTCTACAATTGATAGAGTGTGTATTGAATTTTGACGTACGTTACAGTAATAAATTGTTAATGAATCTGGACTTGTCATAATCTAACTGTCACGGTTAAAAAACAAAGCATATTCAGAAAGGTAATCCCTAGTGATTTTAATGTATGTACTTCACATTAATAATATTATTTCGTCACCCTCCCTGAAAAGTTTGGTGAAAATTTTTCCAAACAGTCTGATGTATAATTTATAAATTATTTTGTAAACAGCCTGATTTTTTTGTAAACTTGTGTATAATTACCCTAACCCTACGTCATCTAAATGGTTCCCTAATGTTATTAGCACTTTTCTGTTGCATATATTTAGGGGAATGGAACCGAATTTGATGGAGGTTTTTGCAAACCTCCAAATTAGACGCAAAGTAAATTTAATAATTTAGTTTTTTACTAAACTTGCCAAAAATTTTTGATATTTTACTAAAAAGCAACTAAATGGCACAAAATTTGCAAAGATAATTTAACTTTAGTTGTACTTTTATCAATGAATTACTAATAAAAAAAAATACGTAATATCTAAAACCTGCCAAATACTTGATATCTAAAACCTGCCTTACACTAGAGTCTAGACGTTTAAGATATATTAAGAACGTTATTTTTTTTATGTTTACCTGTGAGCACAGGTTTCAGATGGTTAATTAGATTTGGTTCATTAGTGATACATTAGGACGTGTACCGGTGCGCATGGTACTTTAACGCTTTATGCAATTATAAACTTTATAAACTTTAGCCGCTTCTGATTTTTAGTTATTAACGATTTCGTCACAAAAAGTCTCAACAAAATTCAAAGCATATTGTAATTAAAACTAAATATGTAAAATAAAATGACTAAACCACATTTCAATAACAAAAGTGGTAACACAATCAAAAATTAATGTTTTATTAATGAAGTTTTAAATCAAAAAGAAAAATTAGTTCTAAATTTGATAATTTATTTAAAAATCTGTTAATTAGGTTTAGAATAATATGAAAATATAATTTATAGTAAAAATACTATTGGTTTACCGCCACATAAACAAAAATAAAATTAATATTATTTTATTTACGCAAAAAATAAACTTATGCACAACTTCTTATATTTTAATTATCTCCATTAAAGTAAATTAGTGTCTCGACCATTTTAATTGTCTTCTTTTAGAATTTCAACCATGTAAAATACTAAATTTTCTTTTTCTCTAGCTAATAAATAATCAACCACTGCCACGCCACCACCACCACCACCCCAACCACTACTTCAACCATCTAGTCTAAGGTTTTCTTTAATGAAAATTTCACGTGTAATAAATTTACTTACAAAAATTTCCTCTTTATAAACTCAAAAACAAAAAAAATGGAAAAGAAACTTTTAGTAAAGGACCAAGTCATTAATAATGGGATCTACATAAAGGAATAAATAATGATCGTGATGGTGTGGGAGAATGAGTGTGAGGGAAAAACAGAAAACATGGACATAAATTTCTGATTCGTTTCGACTATTTTCTAATTTAGAATGAAAGTGTACAAATTATATTTTTATGCAGTAACCACTCAATGTATTTAAGGGTTCTTTTGTTTTTTGTTTTTTGTTTTCGAGTAAATTGAGTTATGCAAATGAATGGTTCTATACTTGTATAGGTATGTGATTTCAAAATTTATTTATTATTGTATATTTGTCGTGTGAGTATCATTTAAAACTTGTGTTTGTTATAAAGCTATAAAATATTTGTATTATAGATATGTCAATAATATGTATGATGTGGGTGCAAATGGAAACTGTTTTTATATAGAATATTTCTGTTTTTAATAGTTAAAGATATTTTCTGTATTAGGTATGAAATTAATCCGGGAGACAATTATCAATCGAATTAAATTACATGACATATGCATGAAACCGGAGACTCCTTTAAAATTTCAATATCAATTTTATATTCTTATTAAAATTCAAATGTCTGTCTAAATGAAATTTCCAGAAATTGGCCTTGACTATCGGACTGCGACAAGATAACCGAAAAATGGCAGATTTTTTGTTTACAATCTGTATAAATTGTCCGCTTCAATAGAAAAAAACTTTTTTTGGATGATTTATCATAAAGCTCTATTTATAGTTCGCAAATTGTGTCTATTTTGGAAAGTATAGTATACGTATTTCAAATTTAATGTATGGTTCAACATCAATCACTGGTTTCGGACAGAAATAAAATTGTTTTTGTTCGAAAACTACCTTCGAATCAAGTAAAAATGTGAAATTATATAAAAATATTTAGAATCTTTATTTTGATTCATTGATATACTTTCGGTAACGTTTCGGCGCCATAACGCAAATAGTTTTGTATTTTATTCATTAACCCTAACGAACTTCAAAAATTAGATTACCTCAAAATTGGAATAGAAGTTTCTTTAAGAAATTGGAATAGAAGTGATTAAGGTTAGATAAGAAAATAGGAATTTGTTCTATTGACTCCTCAATCTTTTGCGGTTTGTTCGAACTTCCCGAATTTGCTTTCATTTTAAAATCCCAACATAATGGTCGCATAATAAAAAATCCATGAAAATTAAATAAAAACGAGTATTATATTTATTTTTTAATATTATTAAATACAATTACAATTTAAATTGTTTTTCAATGTTATCATTATCGAAGTTTGTTACAATCGCAATAATTGAATAAATATATAAAAATATAACCTAAATGAAAAGTCCGACGTATATCCTTTGACAAATCCTTAATTGGAATACTAATTTGTTAAAGTCATTAATTCGGAATGTCTGCAATCAGATGCTAATTTCATTTAAAATTTATATCAGAAACAAAATAATATAAACTTTTAAACCCAACTATGTACAAATATGCATAGGTGGTAAAAAATCAAACAATAATAGAAACGAAACCAAAAAATAATTTGAACACGCAAGGTTAATTTACATAAAAGTTTTTTTTTGCTTTGTTTCTGTACACGAGTCTTGTATTCAAGTGTGTAAAAATAAAGTTAAATAAAGTTATCCTACGCCATACAAGCATATATATACATATGTACATGGAATAGTGTTTGGAAAGGAGGCAAATATAAGGTTTTTTATCTTTTAGGTTTATAAAATTTCGATTATAGATGAAAGGGTCATTCGTTATTCTAAAAAAAAAACCCCAAAGTTAATGATGAGCTTGAAAAGCAAATGGGCATAAAATCTAAAAAGAAAAAAAACAGAGTTTGCTACAAAAAAATTGTGGAGATGATGATTGTAATTGTTTTTATCGAGTTATTCGAAATGCGATTGACGTACTAACCAAATATGTTGTAGCGAAATACTCAACGAGAGCATTTGGGAATGGATAAATATCGAACGCACGCCACAAATTTGGTAGTGCTTTAGCTCAAAACGTGTTAACTGGAAAGTAAGCGTTCCTGTTATTAAGTTAAAAACGGAATAACGAATGGCTGGCTGAAAGGCGAAATTTACTATGATGCAGATTTTTTAACCCAACACTTAAATAAAAGATTTGAATATGATTTGTTTATAATATTTGAAACGTTAAGAAAAGAGTATGTAAAAAATTGAAAAAAAAAATTGAACCTCGGTTACCAATTCTGAAATCAGTGAAAACGCTTTTGAAACATTCTCACCCATGTTTTCTACAGCCATCTTGAACGTTGTCATTCAGAAGAACTATATTTCTTCAGGTGTCTTCTAAGAGGACAATATCTCATCGAGAGCTACGATCATTCTGATCCAGTTCTTAATTGGTTTCGGTCATAGTGACACGAGAAACTGCAGACTAATTTCACCAAAGAATTTCGGCTTCATGAGACGGTTTTTAGACTTGGCGTCTCCATGATAAAGTCAACTGTAAAAGGAGCCTAATTTCCTTTGCATTTTGTTGTCTAATTATTCTTTAGGTCGACCGACGGCGCGCTATCACCGACTAAATTAAAATATAGGTTTTTGTTGCCTACTTCGTTATACCTATCGAAGAACTATTTGTCGTTTGTCATATTGTTTTGTTTATTTTTTAATTTCACTGGATTAAAAAAAAAATATTACTGTAAATTAAATTTGCAATTGTTCAAAATTTATTTTCACACTACTAGAAGCACATAATATATAGTCTGTGCATGTTTCTACACTTACATACATATATACATATGTATGTATGAATATAACAAAGGCTCTATTTATGTGGAAGCATTTGTATTACCTAGCTATTTGATTTTAAATGTAGGTATACGCCGTGCACAATAAATGCAAATTTATGGATGGAGTTAATGCATTTAAATATATTTTTCCGGTTGAAATTAATGAATTGAAAATTAATTTGAATGGATTTAGTTTAACAGTAAATAATTGCACTGTTGTTTTATAATTTATTCAATATATCAAGTTTATATAATACGAACACTTGTTATATAACTACGCTACGAGTATTTTGTCATTAATTTGTAAATTTTTTTTCATTTGTTTTTCGTGTCTCATATTGGAAAATTGTCGAATGCATTTAAGTGCATTCGTATATAAAAATTAAAAAAGGATCAATTTCATACTCCTTAATAATAATATTATTTTTCATAATTATTGATTTTGGCATAATCTCTTATCTGACGCTACACGTACAAAAAATTGAAGAATTTAATTTTCGAATAGAAATTTTAGAGCTTAATATTCATAAGTGAAATTCGGCAGGGTAGACTTCGTATTTTATCTGAAAGTTGTTTATAAAAACGAGTTCTAAGTTGAATAGAATGAAACCAATAAGCGAAGTTCGTTTACATATTGGTAATACCACGACAATTGATATAATATTAGTTTACGTTAAAGTATAACAATTTTTGGCGTTCAAGAACAAAATTTATCATTTTGCATACTAACATATAAAAGCAATGCCTCTGATTAACAATGAATTGTGATTACCAGTAAAAGTAATTTTGTAAAATCTGTTGCATATTTCGAAAGTTAGACCAAAATGACAGAATTTTTAAGAGAACAAGGTCGCTAGAAAGGGTTCGTAGCAAAATTTCTATAAATAAACTATTAAATGATTTTTGTATTTATCTTATACTAAGCCTCTAATGCCTCGCTGAAAATTTCGCCTTCAAAAACTTTTAATAATATTTTACTTGTATTAAAATTTTTACAATAAAAACATATGATTTACCTTGAAAACGGCTGATGCAAAAAATAATGGCAGCAATATAAAAACAACACCACATAATACAATTTGAAGATTTAATTCTGCTACTGGTTCTATTTTCCATTGGATTAATGAACATCCTGTCGGAAAAAAATAAAATTTAAAATTTAATTTAATATTGGCTAGATATAGTTAAACTTTAAAAATTAAACTTTAAAATCTATAAAATATGTAAATGAATAATTTTTGAAAAGAGAAAAGCCGTGTCAACTTCGAAAATTAACACTACAGTTAATCTAATGTTACAATACAATGCGAAATTTTCATGCATCAAGTGATAAAATTTGATTTTGATTTCAGAACCACATAAAATACGCTTTATTAGCCGGAAAGTTACATAATGCAATTTTGAAAAGTCTATATTGGGAAACCCGGATTCTTCACTTATAGAATTTTATGCATTTTTAAGCTTTGAACCGTACTAGCAAAAATTATTCTAGTAGTATAAAAGAAAAACTTAATAACGAACAATTATTTGATTCTATAAAATTCGGGTTAAAAGCAGAAGAACTCTAACTTGATTGTTATCCGAAAAAATGTACGAAATAGTGTTTTGGGAAGCAGATTGACGGTATTACCCACGAATCGAGATTTAGCCGAGTATGCCGGGATTTTCTCAGTTAAATCACGATAAAATAGTAAAAGAGAATGCGTTTTATAATCATTATTTTAGCATCGCTACGTTTTGTGAGTTGCAAGTAAATGAATATAAAAAATTTTGTTCTGTATAATGCACAAGCTCACAAAATTATGGCAGGGAATTAAAGATTAAGATCATCAACAGAAATATTTCTTGTACATTTTAGGCATAATTTCTAAAAATTTAATTTAATTTGTATTAGAATAAAATCTTTTCTAAACGCACTAAATCACAAATAAAAAATGTTTGGCGTGCGGTTTTCTAAACTTTTGAAAAAAAATCGTACATGTAGAAGGGTATGTTTTGTTTATCCTCGAATTGTCATCAAAAGTTTCTGTACCTTGAAGTTTTTCCCATATTGATATACAAACAAACTATATGAGGATCAAAAGAAGTTGCGTTTATCATTTATAGAACATTTTAAACACAATCAAGCAAAGAGAGTAATAAATCGAGAATTGGGGCGATATAATTCATTTTAGGTTTAAGGGAAAAAAATCTAATGACAAAAAAAAAACAAAAACCATTTTAATTAAATTTGAACAACTAAATACTTAATTTGAAGGTCACGAAAGCAATTTAATTCAGAATTTGATTTGAGCCAAATTTTACCTATAAATTTTATGGTAATTCAACCATACCAACATAAGTAGTTTACAAAAAAAAATCCATAACATTTTGAAAACAACAGAGAAAATTTTAAGAAGAAAACAACAAAATCAAATGATTATAGCACTTGTGTTCTTGTTGTTTTTAATAATGACTCTCTAGTTGATAACGCGAAATTACAATAAAAGTAAAAAATTTCTCCATTTCATAAACATTATAAGAGTTTAATATTGGCTTTGTTATGAAATACTCGTATGTACATGTATTGGTTGTGTAAAATTTTATAAATATGCAAAAAAAAAAGCTATTAAAGTATCTCAAAGGACATTTTCTTTATCATTAATTCTAGGATTATGATAAATAACGGTATCATTAAAAAACACAATATAGTAAAAATGAAAACAAAAAATTGACATAAAAAATTTCACAAAAAAAAAATTTAAATGTTTTTTGTTTTTTTTTTTTTTAAGTCGTTCAGCATAGCAACAAGTTTATAATAAAAATATCAACAGTCATTTTTTGTTGTTACTTTTATTATAAAAAAAAATTACAAACATTTATAAAGGATATGCGAATACATAAGGAAAATTCATACATAAATACACACCGAATTCAACTCGTGTACATTCATACGTAAGTTAGCTAACCATACGTCCAAAAATTTCCGGAACCATACCGTTTTAAAGCCTAAAAAAAAATATACAGAGTTTACCGCAAAAGGTTTGTTTTCCGCCTAAAAAACTTGGTAGTGATGATTCTTTGATCAATTTCCATCAACAAATTGTAGGGGGGGGGGGGGGCGTTATGCTGGAAAAAATTAGATTTTTCCTGCATATAAATAAATGCTCATAATTTCGGAACCAAGTCACATAGAGGAACTATCGGGGCCGCCAACTTGTTTTACAGGCAATTAATTAATTTTTATTTTCGGTCTCACAATCAATTTAATTTGAGCCACAGTTTTCGAGATAAAACTTTTATACAAGTCAGAATTTTTGTTTGTTTTTAAATTGCTTTTTTAAAAACTTAAAATTTCTTGAAAATTTGTGTATGGTCGAAAAGTAAACCCATATTACATTTTCCTCCATCTCTTAGAGTCTTGTCAGCAATACGTGTTAAATGTGCTTAAAAGACTTGCGAAAAATACAAATTTCGTATATTTTCGTATATTTGATCAAACAAATGGTTTTTAAAATCACATATTTCGCTTTAACAGTATGAGTATAGATTTTGTATTTTTAAAATACTCGTAGTTATATTGCTACATTCTTCTTTTTGCTGACGTCAAATGAATCTTAAGTGTCAAAGTAATAGGTTACTAAAAGTAGGTATTTGCCAAAAATTGAGGGAGTTAATACTCAGAAAGTTAGGGTTAATACACAGTAGTAAAAAACACTTTGTTCCAGTGAAACAACTGATATAGAACTTTATAAACTGATAAAATTTCAGAGACTCGTCCGTATTGTCACGTAGAAAAAAATATTTAAAGGATTAATTCGATTGCATAAGATTATTTGGTCATTATTGTTTATATTTTTAATTTTTTATTTCAGCTTATATAAAAGTACTTTCATTATTTGTTTACTTATATCCAATTATTCTTGCTGGTCTACTCGCCCACAAAATTACAGGATACTTTTGAATAAAAATTTGTAATATCCGAACAGGCTAAACATTCAAACATCAAGTTGTCAATGAACACTGCATTGCATGCATCAGTTGAATATTTTTTTAAATTGATTTTAGGTTTTAAATGATTTTGATAAATTTTTTGCCCTATAAACTTAAATTCGCATCTTTCTAAAATCTTTTAGTTATACGTGTGTGTCCCGGACTGTTGTACAATAAAAATGGTCAACCTAACATAAGAACATGCATCCATTTGGGCTCATAATATATAAGTATAATATAAAGTACATTAAATAATATGTACACTAATATATCTAGCCTTGGACTAGTAAGAGAAAATAAAACATGGAAAGAATTGATGTAAAAGCAAGAAGTTACATAATTTTCTAATGCTAGATTTTTATTTGTTTTTGTTGTTTTTTCTGTTGAATACAGTTGTTGATCCAATTTTACTGAATGTGTATGTGCACGTGTGTTTATGAATATAGTCAAAAGCGTTAAGAATAATAGCGGAAATATTTCATGTCCAGAAAAATAATTTTCTTTATATTTTCTACTTTTGCTTTCTCCTTATGCTCTTAACATTCTTTTCCTCGTTCTTTTGTTTTTCTTTTTAATTTTATACACACAATAAGAATATTTTATTAAATTGCTAGAAAATATGAAATTTTTTTATATTTCTGTTTTTTTTTTTTTTAAATTACAAATTTAAAAAAGTGTTGCCTTTCTAGCTTACAACTTGTCTAAATTGAAAATTGAAATTTTAGTATGATAATTTTTTGCGCTTAAACTAGATATAAATTGTTAAAACTAATTCAAAATTATATTTTATGAACTAAATTTAAAAACGGCATTACTGCATTGTATAACTCTAGGAAAATTTTTTTCTGAATTTCCGTGTAAAAAATCACATGCGAAAACATCAACGGTTCCACAGTGCTATAGCATGTTTAAATTATTTTCTAAAAATTGAAGAGTTTAATAACAAGAAGTACACGTCTAGTGTTGAGCAGAAGAAGTTGGAATTATTGGAAGTTGGTTCATTAAAAGAAGTTAGGTGGTTTCTCGTACTATCTGACAAAGCTTATGTGTAAAATTTTAAATTAATCTGAAGCGAAATTTGGTGCCATCACATAACCTCCTTTATTGTATGCAATTAATCGTAAAAATATTTAATTTAATAATATTGTAATCAAATAAAAGTAAAAAATTAACATTATCTGATCATGCGCCTGTTGCACTTAAGTGTAAACTGATCAATTGTAATGAATTTTAGAGATGATTTCTGTTAACTTTTATATATTGTCAAAAAAATTTTGGTATTTTGCTGTCTTAGGGCTCAAATATGCATGCAATTTTTAGTTTTCAAATGTTTGATCTCTTATATGCAATATAGGTTTAAATTGAAGCGAGCACACATGCAACTGTATGGTTGTATGCAATTTAGCAATCAAACAGTTTGTGATTTTTACAAACTGATTGCAATTTTTATTTAACGCGTTCGATTTGAATTAACAAAATAGTTTAGTTGGTTTGGAATTGACGAAATAATTTAGTTCGCTCATATTAGTTGGGCGTTATTAATTTAGTTGAGCAATATTCTCAACGAGCATTGCTTTATTCTGTAATAAAGCAGTAATTGTAAAATTTAAAATTGCATGTATGTCTGAACTCTTACTCAATAATGAAAAAACTTTCCCAATTTACGTTTTTTTTCTCACGTTATGAAAAAGAGAGTAGAATTTTCTTTATTAACGAACAAAACACAAAACAGGTTTTTAATATTTTGCAAAATGGCAGCACTCTTGAAATAGGCTAAGAATAATAAGACAGGGATAAATTCCAAATACGGGTTGGGAAAATTTGACATGTATTAGAAAAAGGAAGATTTAAGAAAAGAATTTTTTTTTTATTAAAAATTTTTTAGTTAAGGATTTGTAATTTCATTTTAGGCTCAATTATTTTTAAATTGCGAACAATTTGTTTCCTTAATGTTTCCTTATTAGTATACAATTTTTCTTTTGCTTTTCTTTTTCTAAAATTTTGTTTTTCTAACATTCTTTAATAAACATTTTTTTAAGTGTACGTAATTTAGAAAATTTTCTTATGTCATTTTCAAAAATTACTTTAATTATCCACGAATACAAACATACATTCATTCTGTTTTGTTAACATTTTTAGAAATTATGTAAGAACTTGGTATTTAAGTTGAACTAGAAGTTGGTGAGCGAGTATATAGTTAGTAATTATTAATGTTTATTTGCATGCATACATTTATACATACTTACATATTATATTCAAATGAGTTATGTAAATAAAAGAAATTTATGAAACTTTGAAAAATTACCATATGAATTTAATTTTGAAAATGCATTAATTTTTAGAACAGGAAGAAAATAAGAGAATGTCTTTATTAAAGAAAATTATTTCAGGATAACATTAAATTGTGTACATAAGAACTTAACATAATTTATTTGAATTCTCACGCGATACTTCCACTTTTACATCTACTGTATTATGTACAATGAGATAGGTATTGTAATCGCGCTAAACCTTACATCTAGTTTGATTAACTAAAATTGAGATATTTTGAATAATTGAGTTTATATCAGCAATTCGGTATTTGAATGTTAGCTGAACAGATTTAGATAAAAGTTTACATTTAAAGGTAAACGAAGTCTTATCAAAACATTTACATAACACCTACCTAACTGCTTCGTTACATTTGTCAGAAGAAAAGCTATCGAATTTTGGAAACATCCGTATTTACTTGGAGAAGCCAATATTAAAAATACAAAAACGATATATTTTCAAAAAATTTAATATCAAAACCGTACAATACTTCAAATGAGAGTTTATCCTGCCCCGGAGCTACACTGTCATTGTCACTATTTCAGCGCTTTCAATATCCCACCTTGGTAATATCGTATCTGGAAGTTCATATAATGGTGCCGGATATGGCCTGACCTCACCAAATATATTTTTCTTTTCATAAATACTTTATACTATCTTCTATTTTAATTTATTACACTCCGTCATATTTTTTATTCAGATTCAAATGCATTATTCAAATCTGCTTGTGTATTGCAATATTTGTTTTTTTTTTTTTTTTGTAAATTTGTATTCGAGTTACTCTTGAGTGTTACTTCTCGTGTTTACAAATTGTTATGTAATGTTGAGGATTAGAAAGTTTTATTTTGTTATTTTCTAACCTAGTTTGTCTCTTACATATATGTATGTAGTTCTTCAATTATAATTTATGGAAGAAATTTTATTAGATGAATTTCTAGACTTATTCATTTTCTATTTTCTCATTAAATGACAGTTTTATAATAAATAATATTGTTATAGTGTACTATTTAAGATATGTGGGTGTATCTGCATTAGGTAAATTTATAATAGGGTACGAATGCTTTTATAAATATACTTAAAAATTTGAAAACATTTGTTAGAATTTCATCTGAATACTTGTTACTTGAATGTGATAGAATCTTAGAAAATATTATGTTAGAAATCTAACTATTAGAAAATAAGAGGTTACACAAATGATACAGATATAAAAAAACCTTTGAGCTATATGGTCACGGTATTTAAATCGAGCAAAAACATAATGAGATTAGCTACTACATTTTCCAATTTTTATTGGTCATAGATATTTTTTGCAAATTTAAAACCGAGACTGTTGTGTGAATATTCTCGACGAATTATTTCGAATCTTCAGCGAGAAAACTATTTTAGTAATATATGTATATACATACACAAATATGGGCAAGTAATTTATAAAATCACAATATTTTATAAAAAATTAGATTCGTGTATACAATTTAATAAAAGTAAATACTTCAGGGTATTAAAATTTTGAAACCGAAACGCTGGTATGAAAATAATTTAAAAATTAGTTTACGTTTTTGGAATTCAATAAAACAAATAAATTTACTATGAAATAATCAGTAGATTATAGCTCATAACGCAGTGACTTTCAAAATATTGAGATCTGTGCTTTTAAAATCAATCTCAATATTCTAAAGAACTAAACTAACTAATTTTGATTGAACAAATTAAATTTATAATAATTTAGTATAAAAGTTAATTTTAAAACTGAAATATAATAATTAAATAAATAAATTAAACTTACCTAAAAATCTATAAGCACCATGTATAGCTAAATATCCTTGAAATAATGTCATTAATACACCATACCATATTGACCATAATGAATTCAAATGTAAATAATTATTTTGATGTGTTGAATTATATTGTTGCTGTTGTTGATGTTGCTGATGTTGATGTGAATGATGATGATGAAGATAATGATGTTGTTGCTGCTGCTGTTGTTGCTGCTGTATTTGATAATTATTTTTATTAAAATTTTTTCTTGTTTTCATATTTTGTAGATGATATTTATTTGAATTTGATGCATTTGTGGCTGTTGTATTTGTTGTAACAGTATTATTTTGATTACTATTAATATCATTATTGTTATTATTATTATTACTACTACTATTATTGTTATTATTATTATTATTTATGTTACCACTACAATTATTGCTACTATTACTATTATTATTACTATTATTATGATTTTGCAATATTGATGAATGATGTTGTTGATGTTGCTGCTGTTGTTGTTGTTGATGATGATGATGATGTGTTTGATGATTATGATTATTATGATTTAATTGTTGATTATGACTAACTGTACTTGCATTTGTTATTATTGAATTATTAAGACTTGAATTTAAGCTTGGGCATGGTTTACCCATTGAATTAATTGATGTATTTAACATTGTTGTTGATGATAATGATATATTTTGTTGTGATGACGGTAATAGTAATTGTGATGAATGTTGTTGTTCTTGCTGTTGTTGTTTTAATTCTGTTATATATGAATTTGTTATTTGTGGTGATATAGATGATTTTATTGTTGGTTTTGATAATATTTGAGATGATGTTGATGATAATGATGATGATGATATTCCAATTATTGTTGAATGATGATTATTAATTGCTAAAAATTGTTGTTGTTCTTGATAATGTTGTTGTTTAGGTTGTTGTTGATTTGATTGTTGTTGTTGTTGTTGTTGATGATGATTATGTTTCAAATTATTAATTTTTTTCTTATTTATTATTTCATTATTATTCTCGTAACCAACAATTGATCCAGATATTGACATTTCTATACCTTTTTAATAATTATCTAAATATTGGTCCAATATGATTTCGTCCTTATTATCTTGGTTTAATACTGTAGATTTACAACATGTTTTCTTTAAAAATTAATACTTTATTCGAACGATTTATTTTGTATATATTGTGATTTTTATATCAGTCTTTTGAAATTTCCTGTTGTTTAATTCAAAAATTCATGTCTAATTCATTTATAAGAAATGAATTTTTATTGGTTCTGATGGCATTTCGCTGAAATTTTGATTATTTTTTTTCTAAAATTCTTTTACTATTTTATATAATTTTCTTTTCAATAAATTTTATGTGGTTGCTGTTCTTGTGTTTCGGTACATTTATTCGATATGTTTTCCTTTCTTCTCTCCTGATTCTTGCAACGCAATTCAATTGAATTTTTGTTAAAATTACAAATAAATTTGTTTTTTTTGTTTTTCTCAATTATATAATTCTATGCGAGATGAAAATATTGCCATTTATTTTCTATTTGCTTTTATGAAAAATATGTATTTATGTATGAATATTGCCCAAGCTAGAATATATGCTTACGAAATGAGAAATGATGATGATGTTGATGATATTCGGAATATTACAACATACTTATATAAATATTGTGTATGTATATGTATATATTTTTCTTATATATTTTCAATATTAATAAAATAAAATTATTCTTCTCTATTTAATGTGTTTAATTCTCTATTCTATTTAATGTATTTTTTATGTATATATATTGTAAATATATGCAGATGCATGAAATATTATTTACGATCAAAAATTATGATTTATGATTGTATTTTTTATTTTTGTTTTGTTTTAAAAATTTCTAATGGTGGTAAATTTTTATAATTTTGTATTTTATTTTTTAAATTATTTTTTTTTTTTATTTTTGATTATGTTAATGGATTTTCATGATATGTTCAATGTATTTTCTATATAGATACTACAAAAAGGAAAATTAATTGTTTTGTTTTCTATTTATTTATTTTCTTTTTGAATGATGAAATGATGCGATGTCTGAAACAAATATTTTGAAAAAAAAAAAATACAAAATATACAATTAGATAAAACATTAAGATTAAAAAATAGAAAAAAATGCAAAAATACAAAAATTTACTAAAAATATATTTCTAATTAATTTTAATCATAAAAATTTCTAAATCATAGCAAAACTCTTCTTCATACAATAAAAATTTAAATGGGAAAATCTCATTTCACATTTATTACAAAAAATGTTTTTATTTTAAATATGGCAATGCTGTATTTTAATTAACATTAACATATTACTAGTATTAAAATTTCAATAGAAATTTTTTAAATGTGTGTCGTAATTTTGCGATTGATGAATTTTATTTCTTATATATTAAGTATAGTTTTAATTATTTCTGACGTACTGTTTAATTATACGACAAAATTTATAAGATTTGATGCGAGTGTGATATGTTAACACTGTTTCACGTCAGGCTTTGTCTGACAGCATGTAATATAAATTATTCCAATCTTATAAGATTGACTTTCATTAAGAGTTTTAAAAGTAAAATATGGCAACAATTAATTTGTTGTGGTAATTTTGAAATTATTAAACTTGCAGAAAAAATCTGAGCCTCATAAGATAATTTCAGTTTGATAATTGTAAACGGTACGTGATACAAAATGTCCCCAAAAATTGGCTATTTTGATTTACTATGCAATCATTTATCGCTTTCCGATAAAAACTTATTGCAAGGAAAAAATTTTCTATTTCAAATAACTTTTTGAATATGGAATATTTTGAATACGTTGCTACGCGGTAATTCTAAACGATTATTTGATCAACGAGTTCACAAGGAAATTGCCAGTTTTTAATAAATTTATTTAATTGTACAGTAAAATAAGTCGTATAAGAATTCCATATTTTTTCATCCATGTGAGAATTCATAGCTGAATAGTTAATGCTTATGAAGGACCAGGAAGTGAAAGAATTGTTCGACGTTTAGAGGTAGATGCTGATGGTTGCATGTATTTTGTCAAAATTTGAGTGCAGTAGAAGGATCCATTTTAATTTTTTCGAAATTTCAATCATTGTTCTTTATTTACAACGTAATATGAAACATTATAAAGTGAGGTATTGGTGAATATTAAATTTTTTATATACGTGAATTAATTTTTATAGAGAATTTTTCTGATTTGTTTTGCTTTTACCATAAATTCGTATACTCATTCCTTCCTGACCGATTTTGTTGTTCTAGTGTTAATTGAATTCGATTTACCTTTGTATATTTATCCAATAATATTTGGTTGCGTTTGTACGACTTCTTGAAACAGTTGCCAATGCCATACAAATTCTAATTTGGTCATGTTTCAAAATACATAAAAACTAAACTATTCAAATATTTAAAAAATTCTAAATTTTATTGATAATGACGTCACTATTTCGATGACATTAAGTTGTAGTTTTATAAAGTTTTGCAGTAGCTGCGTTGTAAGTTAAAAAAATAATACTATAATTTGCGTATAAAAAAATTGAAATTACAATTCTCAAACAAGAATTAGTTTAATAACAGAGCTAGATCTTAAAAGAGAAATGTTAGCAAAGTGCATAAATTCTTTCGTCAGCTTTCATATAACTCTTCAGAAACATTATACAGCGTTCGGGCATTATACAATTGCCAAGGTCAGCTTAATTTTTTGGTTTTCAATTCTAGTTATTCCTTTAAATAGTATTCACTTTAGAATATTGAGTCATTTAAGCAATATATGAAATAATTCAGAAATTCTTTTATACAAAATTTTAGCATTTCTAACTCTTTTACAGTAAACAAAATTAAATTATTTATTCTCTAACTAGATTTACTTGTTTACTTTGTTTCTTAAAACTCACTATTTGTTTTTGTATATGTAATAACAATATATACATATTATATGCTCCATACCATAGGTATATGTAATAATCAAAGTTCTTAGACTATATTAAAGTAAATACACAATTATAAAATGGATTTGTAAATATTGCGTCAAACATACGAATAATATACTTGAAATTCTAAATAATTACATTACATTTACATTTTCTATAAAAATAACAATACACGAAACATGCTCATTACAACTCATTCTATATTTTATGAGTATATAAGTTAATGTGTGTATTTAAATTAAGAAGACTTATAAATAACTTAAATAAAACTCAAATGCAAACTCGGATATTTATTCAACTTCCGTCACAACATAAATTTAAAAAAAAAAAGAAAAATTGTGGTTGTCATATGTGAAAATTTTCTGACTTACTCTAAAACTAAATATTAAAATTTATATTTAGTTGTCTTCTATGTCTGCCCTCCAAAAGAATAACAAAAGAATTTTTCCTTTTTTGTTATTTTTATTTATTATAATCCTTTAAGCATGTAGCTTTTTATTTATTTTGAAGTAACAAAATTTAAATATTTTTTTCCTTTTTTTTTTTTGGTTATCCTTATTATATCCTTGGAGAAACGTATAAAACACAAAGAAAGTTGAGCATTATAAAAACACATATTTATATATATGTAGATGTACATATGCACATATGGTTTATATATACGACACACATAGGTATTCTTCGGCTTATTCTTGTGTCATGCAAAATAACAATAAACCACCGAAAATAATAATAACAAATATTAAAAATAAGAAAACTTTAATTTTCTAAAAATGTCAAAAAATGAAAAGAGAAAAATATATTTTTTTTGTCTTGTTTACGGTGAAACTATAGTGTAAACAAAATTTCTATATAAAAACTTATTCGTTTTTTTAAGCAAAGGAGCGCGCATACAGAGAAAACCGAATACAGAGAACAAAAAACAAAATAAAAAAAAATTGTAATCCTTGTAAGTTTTTCAGTATCTTATTTTTCTTTTCTATTTTTTTTTTCACTTTTTAGCACTTTTCCAAAAAAATTTTGAAAAAAAAAGCTTATTAGTTTCACTCTGTCCGTTCGCCCGTCCGTCCGTCAAGTTATCACCTCTCTCATGGTGTCATCTCTCTCAAGTTATCACTCCCTCTCGAGTTATCAGCTCTATTCAATTTGAATTTTTGGCACCTTATATTTGCGAAACAACAAGCTTTTTCAAATTTCTATAAACCCAACAAGCTAACGGTAAATTCCGTATCATTAAAAGATATAATTATTTTTCTTAACTCACACAATTAACCTTTAAAATCGAGCTTTATGTGATCCCTTCTTTAAATTTATTTTTGCTTTATTTCAAAGACTGCATAAATCGTTCATCCTAAATATATGCAATCCTTAAAATAGTTTCGTATATGAATGAAAATAATTTTGGTAGTGTGATAGGTATACATAGACTGTGTTTAAAAAAAGTATTTCCCGTTGTTGAAGGGAAAAGTGCTACAATACAAACCAATGATTTGACCCAACTTTATTATTTTTGCCTTCAAAAAATAAAACATCATTCTCCCGTTCCTTTATTATTGCGCTTTTTTTAAAAAAAAAATTTTAAAAGTGAAGGATAAGAGTAAAAATTTTAGAGGCATACACGGCCACATAAAGAAAAAAAAAATATATTTCATTTTATAATTCACACCTTCCAGGATATTTTAATTCTCCTTATAATTCATAAATATTATTCCTTTATACATTCGCTCAGATTCTAAGATTAAGCTTAAATTGAGCCCCAATGAGCATAAGCGCAATATAAAATGCATTGCATTTTAGATCAAATATAAATATATGAAATACATTGCATAAATTACGGCGATGAAACATTATTTTAATACAAAAAAAAAAAAAAAAAATTTCCTAAACGCTCATTGACGTTCATTTTTATAACGGTGTTCATATGCATAGATATATACACTCACATATATGAAAAATTAAAAATCTAGTAGCTTTGTTGTCTAGTGTGCTTTACAGCATATAATTATATAAATAAATTGTGTCTCAAGGTGTATAACATTTTCATTTAAAATGTTTTAATTAAAATTTTTTATTTTAATTACATGTTTGATACTACACGTTCTGTTATTAGGAAAATTAGAAGTTTTCAAAGCATATAAACATTTGTATAAAATAAAATTAAATTAGAAAAGATTTGAATTTTCAATGTTTTAAGGGCGGTTGTTTAATGATACACTTATGGAACAAATTTTATACAATTAGAAATCAATTGAGGGCATAATATGGATTTGACAGAATTTATTGTATATTTCAAAAATTGTCTTTGAATATCATTTGTTTGTAATAAAAATGCAATATGCTGCATGAAGTGCACATTCACCTGTTTAGCCAAAAAACTCTTGTAAACGTAGAAGCAGGAAACCTAAAATTTTGTTGGCAAATGCATCCTGCGGAAGGTACTATTAGGTAGGTAAGTAGGTTGTATGGGGCTGTGTAACCTCCCTACCGTGGGTGTTGGTATAGATCCCCGGTTGTGGTGCCGCTGGATCTCTTCTTTCTCCTTCATTAGAATCAGGCCGAGCTCCTCAGGAACCGGCCAAGGTCCCTAGCATTTACATTCGTAAATGTAATAGGGAAAATGTAAGTCCGTAGCCAGCTGAAAAAGTAAGGACCAAGAAATATCTGTCTCGAACTCGCTTTTAAGGTATTTACTTAACCGTACTGTAATTCGTATTTTCTTAAAATTCAGAAAT